GATTTTCATTTTGTGGAAAAGCTTTGTGCAGCCTTGATATATGTATATAAACTGAAACAGTTGGACTAGTGCATCCTAAATTTAACATTAATTATTTTAATACAACAGTCATTTCTGCAGTTTTTGGGGAGGTCACCTCCTAATAAATGTCCTTACAGAAAATCTAAGTGCTCATTTTAAATCAATACTTTGACTTTTAATACTTAAGTACAAAAAATATCAGATACTTTAAGACTTTTGTTCAAGTAATATTCCTGAAGGAGACTTTAACTTTTACCAAAGGAATTTTTTGGTAAGATACTTGCACTTTTACTCAAGTATCACTTTGTGGTACTTTATACAATGCTGAATGACAGCTGTGGTTGTAGAAAGAAGTGTAACAGGAGCAGAACCATCAGTCACTTTATCCTGTTATATGGTTGGACTGAACTGTCACAGAGAGGACACCTGACACAGAGGAAACCCTCTCCATCACGCTTCCTTTCACTTTTTTAAATGTTCTTTTTAACTTTTTTCAAATCGGTCCACCTTTTCCAGAGATTAGATTTGACTGTGTTACATAAAATATTTCAAGAGTAAAAGAAAACACACTTGAGATTTTTTAAATTTAATATATGATACAGCAAGAGGGTAAAAGAAAAATTAATTAGAACTTGCAATTACAGCACCCACTGGCTTCAGCATCATTAATCCAACATATTTTACTTAACAAGTTTGAGATAAAACTGCTCTGAAGCATTTAGACTGGATGCTATGAGAACTCTGCTCAATGGGAGCAGGATGACTCACTGCTTGTGCACCAGATTATCACTTTTCACTCTTATTGCTAACCTTCCCAACGCTGTAGGAAGTATCAGCTTTAAAAAGAAAACATCACTTTTTATTCTTGCCTAACTTGCAAAGATGATATAAAGAAAAGATTCACCAGTATGTTTTTCTTTTTTGCTTTAGCATTCAGTTTGATTCTGCTACCTGATTAATCAGTCTTAAAGGCAGCAGCAAAGAAAATATCATTTCATCCTAATGGCCGACCATTGATCATCTGGAGTTGTGGTTAACAAGGCAGCCGTCACTTCTGGAGGCCGTGCAGCAGCTCATTAGCACTACTGAGCTCATTTCATGCCACATCCACCTGAAGAGACCCTTTCAGCCATGCCTCGGAGCCACTGCTAGTAGATAGTTGGTGTAAAAATAACCTCCGACAGTTCAGGAAGTGATTGCGTAACAGCAGCTCATGTGAGTCACCGCTGTGTTGAATTTGTTGAGCATCATTTGACGTTAAATTTAAAAATCTCCAAAAGCTCCTGCTGAATTCTTTGGCCAAACTACCACAGATCCATGTGCTACAAGTAGCCATACAGCAGCTACTATTGTCTGCTCTGATTACTGTATTGAACTGGTGTACATGTGTTTTTTACAGCAGGTAAAATAAGTATTGAACACCTCAACATTTTTTCAGTAAATATATTACTAGAGGTGCTAATGACATGAAATTTTAACCAGATGTTGGTAACAACCCAAGTGATCCATACATACAAAGAAATCAAACCATAAATGTCCAGAAATGAAGTTATTTGTAATAATGTGGAATGGCAC